TAATACTATAAAATGCTGATCAGCATTCAACATTTTTTCCAATTCTTTCATAATTTCTTTAGAAATGTCTCTAAAGTCTTTATAATTTGAGTTTCCCTTTCCTTCGTTTTATTTTTGCTTCTGTTTTATTGAAGAAATGAGGTAATGCATCTAATAAAGCTGCCCATGTTCTAGATTTTCCTGAATGCATCTCAATGGTCTTATTTCACATGTTCTTCTATTCTTGCATTTCCTCTAACCTGGTAGATGTAGAGGCCTGATCAGATTCAAGTTCATTTATTTGGTCAGAATACGCCATGAGTGTGAAGGCACACATAATGATTGGTTTCTTCTTTTTGGTGAAAAGTCCCTTATTTTTTAAAGATGGTTTAAATTGAAGTCTCAGAATGGTTAAGAGGTAGAATCAAGTTAGTGGGAGAGTCAAGATTTAAACCTCAGACTTTTGAGTCTCAGTCTCTACCTCTTTCATTATATCATGTTACTATCAAGAAAACCTTGCTAAGTCACTAGAATGTAGCAGATGGTCTATTAGGCATTACATAAGACATCATAAGACATGGTTGCACCACTCACAAAATTATTCAAGCCAGAAATCCAGAAGTCATCCTAGGCTTCTCCACCTCTCTTACTTCTACTAAGTCCTACTGACTGTATCTATCACTCTCATTTGTTCCCTCCTCACCATTCCCACTGTCACTGCATTATTTCAGACTTTATTGCTGATTTATTGGACCACTACAATTAGAGGAGCTGCCCTTCTCCACAACACTCTTGTCTTCTTCAGTCACTGCTGTCTTGTTAACAAAAGATTTTTCCAACTGAAAATCTGAATATGTTATTTTTCTTGGTTTTCGTGATGGAGTTCATACTCCTTAGTGTGACAGACAGGCCCCTCTATCATTTGGCTTTGCCTAGCTGACCAACCTCATGTGTCACTATTTTCACTCACAATATTCCAACCTATTGAATTATTGAAGTTTTCTGGATCTGCCAGCAGGAATATGTAGTGATTAAAAGTATGGGCTCTAAAATTAGACATACTTGACTTTGATCCTTGAATTTCCCCATTTACTAGTTGTGCAATACAAGGCATACTTACCAGCATTGTGTCTCATATACCTCATCTCTGTAATGGGAATAATCTCAAAGAATTGTTTTCTATGTGTATGAAGAATGAGTTAAATAGTGCAGGTGAAGAACCTGTATGTGAGCCCTTGCTCAGGAAATACAGGATGGTGTTGTTATGTGGTTTCATATGTCTTTACAACCTTTGAACACATTCCTAAGAACGTTTCTCTCTTCCTTCTTGACAACCTCTCCTTCTTGACAAGCTAGCAAATTCCTACTCTTGTGTAAGGGCCCAGTTCCACTGCTCTTTTGCCAATTAGTAGTAAACCTCTCTCATTCCACAGCACCTCGGAACCTTGTAGATACTTAGGTTACTGTATCCCATGGCTATATGTCTATCTGCCTTGAGCAACTGTTAAATTTTTAGATAGAAGCCATATATTTTTGTTTTTCTTCTCATATCCTATATCATGGTATGGCTCAGTGAAAAGCTCTATAATTCAAGCCTACTGTATCCCATGGCTATATGTCTATCTGCCTTGCACAACTGTGAAATTTTTAGACAGAAACCATATTTTTTTGTTTTTCTTCTCATATCCTATATCATAGTATGGCTCAGTGAAAAGCTCTATAATTCAAGGTTTGGTAAATTAAACTAAATTGATGGGGTTGAATTAAATTGAAAGAATGTATCCAACTTCTCTTTTTATGAGTTTGTATTTTCCAAGTAACTTTTATGAAAGAAAAGATGACTTATCAAAGAATCTAATTGGGTGATTGGCACACAACTTAAAAATGATATTCATTAATTTTTGATTTCTCAAGCAGACTTCACAACTGGAGGAAGAATAAAATGACGGGACTAGGAGAATATGCAAACTATTAAGCTAGATTTCCCTTTGTAAATTAAAAAATGAGTACTTTAGTTTTTCAATTCATTCCTTGTGGGGTTGGTTTTCATGAATCATTTCAAAAACAATGGATCACTCCTGCCAGCTCTAGTCATTTTGTTATACTCATAGGAAAAAATTAAATATGAAAATGAATAGAAAATAGGTATATAGAAGCCCAAGAAAAAAAATGAGCTGACCTCACATGCATGACAGGAAGGGCCACATAAATGGACAATATACAGAGGTTTAATTTACAAAACAAAATATAAAATCTGCCTCTCAGTGGTATGATTCTCAAAAGTTCTAACTTTTATATTCAGCATCATGTTTTAGCAACTATATCTTACAAAGTCTGACTGACTTAATCATATCAACTGTAATTTATGAGTCACTAAAGTATATTTCAGGACGAAACATAGAATAGTTGATATTAAAATATTGATTGTTCATCCACTCCTTTCCCTTACTACTTAGTTTTTCTTTCTTTTTTTAGCTAAACTAATGTAAAATTATATCTAATGACAGTAAGCTTTCCTTTCTTTCAACATAGTGAAAACTTGCATAATTATGAAAATTTTAAAAGGTTAAATCCTTTGCTATTTATTTTAATTCAAATCCAGTATATTATTATATATATTCGGAACCCAAACTATTCATCTTCCTCTAAACCTTCAATTAAATTCCACAATGCAAACCTCTTGGCTCTAGAACCACGTTTCATGTTTATTCAACTGAGCCTGTGTCTTGAAAAAGTGTTGAAGTTTGGGGGTTTTCTGGTGAGAATCCACGTTCTGACATCACCTTGGTCGTGACAGTGATTGGCTGTTGGAAGGCAAAGAAGAGTTTATAGCCAGCAAGAGCAAGTGAATGGGTGAGTGAGAGAGCAGAGGAAATACTCAATCTGTGCCACTCACTGCCGTGAGCCTGCTTCCTCACTCCAGGACTGCCAGAGGGTAAGATTTAATAGAACAACTTCATTATCATAAAATTAGACACTCCACAGTTTACATCTCTGAACTCGGCTTTGAATTCTTCATTTAAATGATGTTATTGCATTGTACATGGTTTAATATTTATTTATCATTAAATTGGCACTTCAGATTTTAAATTCTTTCCAAAAGGCTAAACTTGTTAACCTCAGCCCATAAACAAGTTCTTAATATTATGCACATAAACTACATTATGCTTCTTACTTTCGTTCTCTGCACGTCATAGCTTGACTGTTCTCTCATTCTGATGCATTCAAGATAACGTAATTGAAATACTATTTTGCATTTGCAAATATGCCTAGATATATGCATATTTCTCTACAAACTATACCTAGTCTGTACTTCAAGTATTTATGTTGTCTTTTCAACATATTAAACATTAGGTTTTAATGTTTCCTATAGCTCTAAAGTCAGAACAGAAAATACATTGTACTAACTAGAGAAATAAATACTGTTGGTAGTTTATCATACTCTTCCCAATAAAACTTGAAATTAAATCCTCAGAACTCTCCTTTAAGAATGTTTGAATTGCTCTCTGGGTTAGTAGTGGTCACTATAGAGGTCTTTGCTTTTTTGTCATTCACAAAGTAAATAAAATTAAATTTATATAGGCAACCAATTCTGCCTACATGAACTACTTGGTTCTTTGTATCATTATTATTATTTCTGCCATCTTTTCATCTGGTTATTTTTATAGTTTGTTATGAGAAATTTATGTAATCAAAACTATTTCTATAATTCTATGTATTTAAGTTTTTAGCTCTTTAAAATATTATAAATATTCCGACCCTTTTCATAAAGTGGCAAAGCAATAATCTTTCTGTTTTGCTGATGGGCTTGGTCACAGCTGCAAAGTTCAAAGTATTATTTAGACCACCCCAATAGCAATCAGTGCTGCCTAAAAAGATGGGCTCCTTCAGGAGCAAAGCCTGTTTATCTCCATGTGGCCAACAAGGACTTTTACTAAGATAGGACTGTGAGAAACTGTATGGGCACCAAAACCCAAAGACACTCTGCCACACAAAAAGAGTGTGACTTAGGACCCAAGACAGTATCTCCAGGACTTAGTGTCAGATACTCAATAAGGATGCAATAAATCTTGGCTGATGATGACACAACACAAAATTTACTAGCAGGGTTCAATATATGACACTGTTTTGCACATTTTAAATATTACTTTTTGAAATGTATTCATGGGAAATTGCCATCACCACTACATTATGCTTCCAAAATATTGCCAGAGCTGTGACTATGTATGAGAAGGTGCTAACAATTAAATGTGTATGTAAATGTAAATGGCTGAGTGTTAGTAGGCTTTCACCTAACCTTGCCCAACCTCTATTATGATATAATTTTAAATACAATTTTATTAAATAGAATAAAATTAAAATAGGATAGCATTTGACTATCTCCTTTTACTCATGAGGAATTTATGTGGAACTGAGGCTCTTTGCATGGCTCCAAGCCCCAAGATTATTCAGGCCCTATTCCCACTTTGAGAGCTGCATCTTCAATTGTTCCATAGAATTGAAATTTTCTTCCATGTCTGTCACCCTAACCCTGGAGAGCTCCTAATCCATCCCAGTACAGTCTCACACACTAGCAGATGGAAAACTTAAATGGAGCTGGAGGGCAATTTAATTTTAGGAAATCTGCCCCTGATACCACAAGGCGAAACTCTGAAGAACTCTTCTCATGGAAGCATCCTTAGGGGAGTGGCTGTTGGGTGCTACATGCTATCAGTGTGGTATTTCATGTATTATGGATCCTCTCTGCCTCTCTCTCTCTGTGTCTTATCCACCCACCCATACACACACACCACACACACACACCAATTATTCCAAGATATTCAGAGAAAAATAGCTCATACGATCCATTTTACAAATAAATTTTTAGCCCAAAACCTATACAGAAGCTGGAAATTGCCTATAGGGTATCGGTGATTTTTGCTTTTTTTTTTGTTTTTGAGACAGGATCTCACTCTGTTGCCCAGGGTGGAGTACAGTACAGTGGTATGAACACAGCTCACTGCAACCTCGGTCTCCCAGGCTCAGCCTCTCTAGTAGCTAGGCCTACAGGTGTGCACTACCATGCCAAGCTAAGTTTTGCACTCTTTGTAGAGAACAAGTTTCACCATGTTGCCCAGGCTGGTCTCAAACTCTTGGACTCAAATGATCTGCCCACCTTGGCCTCCCAAAGTACTGGTTTTAGAGGCATGAGCTACCACACCTGATGGAGTTTTTAATTGTAAACAAACAAACAGGGCACACAACTACACTAACAATTCCATTCACTTAGCTGACACTCCCATGTCAATATCAAGAGGGCTGTTACACCAGTGTGAAGTACCCTAAGTATTCAAAATCTCTTGCAGTAATGAAAAAAGGTCTTCCATTGACAAATCACAGAACATAGGTTAAAACCAAGTACGGAACTCATGATTATATAAACGGATAGGTTAAGTCAGTTCTATGTTACTTAAGTGGAAGGAAGAGTTTGAAAATAAAAGCTATAATTTAGTTTTAATTAGTCAAAGTGATAGTTACACAGAAATGAAAACAAATTAAATACTTCATCTTTGAGTATGAGCAAAAAAGTTATGCACTTAGTTTTAATATTTTATTAACCTTACCACTTCATTAATTCCAGAAGCAACCACCAAAATGAAGACTGCTTTAATTTTGCTCAGCATTTTGGGAATGGCCTGTGCTTTCTCAGTAAGTTCTTTATCAAAAACCTACAGTTATTTTCAGTTTTGTCTTTTTATGTAAAAGAAAAATTATGTCACAATTAAATGTTCTTTAAAACAGATGAAAAATTTGCATCGAAGAGTCAAAATAGAGGATTCTGAAGAAAATGGGGTAATTAATTTTAGCATACTTCCTTGGCCTGATTATACTTGCTGTATATTTATTGTATATTAAACATGAATATATCATTGATTTTGTTTTTGCAGGTCTTTAAGTACAGGCCACGATATTATCTTTACAAGCATGCCTACTTTTATCCTCCTTTAAAACGATTTCCAGTTCAGGTAAATACAAAAATTCATTTTTCTTCAGTTTAATTTCCATTATAATTTAAAGGAGATCAAATTTATAAAACACCTAAATTCAACTCTCACTGAAATTCAATCAGAAAGACTGCTTACTATAAGAAGTTTGGTTTTAGGGAAATAAGGTTTATTTTCTAAGTTCTCTTTTAAAGCAGACATATACACAGAGTACAATCATTTGGGTCATTTGGGTACAGTCTAGAATGATATAATAAAAACAAACACTGTAGCACATCGAGCTCTGGTGTTTTTGCTAACTCACAGACAAAAGTGGACGGTTTTATCAATTGTTGACCAATTCCATCAGTGATAAGGTCACTGGCTGTCCTATTACAGCTGATTCAAAACTGTCAGACAGCTGTTTACATGTGGCACTGCCGAGTCCTTTAATTGGTAGGGAAAAATTTGACTTCATAAACATCAGAGGTCATTATTTTTTAGAAACCTTGATAATCATTGGTAATTTCTGAAGATTTTCTTCACCTTAACCTGTGTGGGTCACTAGAGTAATATGTCATACACTGGAGCGTAATTATAATGGTAAAACTGCAGAGGAAAAAGAGAAATTCATGACGTGCACGAAAAAAGCTTGTGAGAAAAACAAACCATCCCTTAAATTTGTAAACAAAAAGGAAAATAACTAAAACTAAAAATAAGAGTTTCCAATTTTGCTGGGTTACCTGTGAAGGGTGCCTTTGAAAACCAGAGGGTGTGGTGTTGATTTTAAATATACAACAAACTAGGATTGCACTGTTTTTAGTACTATACAGTTTGGGTTCGGGACACCAATTATGCACCACTTGACCCAGGACTCTTGAGACACCAAAAGCAGTCAGGATGCTGAAAACGATGCCTCAGCACAGTGGCTTGGCATTGCATCTTACCATATGTTGGGCTAATCCATCTCTAACCCCTACAATGATAGGAAATGATCATTTTAAAGTATTTCTAGAACCAGCATAATTATGGGGAATTTGTGTGGCCACAAAAATATGAGCATGAATGAAACAAGAGTTGTGGGTTTTCAGAATTGTATTCCCTTCTTTGGTTCACCTCAGGCCCATAAATAAACAGTGCTCATTTGAAAGTTTGCTTCATTCTCTTTTTTAAACTAAATGGAAATGATAATAAATTCAAGTCTCTGACTAGCTCCTAAACTTTTCTGAAATATTAGGTACATAGAGATATTCATTCCCATCTGGATATTTTTACAGATATGTATGTATGGGCCAATTAAAATGTCCATAGTGAAGCAATATTCAGAGGCATTACAGTTCTCAATATTGATAGACCTGAGGTTTGTAGATCAAGGAGATCTTTAATATACAAATTTTTTCACAAATTATATGCAGATAAGCCCATCTCAACTAATGTAGAATTTGTAAGATGGTTGTTTTTAAATAAAATTATATAAAATATATCTCCCAATCCAACTGTCTGATCTAGTATTCATGACCCATTCTTCTACTTTACAAAATTTGATTTTCTTTAAGAGTATTGTTAGATATTTAGTGCCCAAGTTGTCACCCCAAAATACATTAAGCTGTATTGGCTTTGAAATTCATGTTTTTGTCAGACAAATCTGCATTTATATACAATATTTCTAAACTACCAAGTTACAGTGAAATATGTTATTTGGATTGCAAAGTTATCAGCAAGCTATCTACTATAGCTTATGTATCTGCTAGACTATAGAAATGAAAGTGTAAGTAAATTTAACATCTTAATCTTCTTAATTGAGAAAACTGTCTTTTTGTGATTCAAATGATATTTTATTAGTGTGTGAACTCATAGAAGTCAAGAACTTAATCTTATATTTCTTTTATCAGACTCATCTCAGCTATGATACAAGAGTTGTGGGTTTTCAGAATTGTCTTCCGTTTAAGAACTCTCTCATCTATCTGTGTAGACAGATGAAAGACTTCTTGGAGAATCAATTGGACTTAGTAACAAATTGGTAATAAGGCATAAACGAAAGATAGGAAAAAAAAATGCCAAAGATTCAAGGCATTTCATACAGCTTTTAAAGTGTTCTCACTGCAGACACTAATCAAAGAGTGATGTGGTTGAGCTAGGGAGAAAGACAGAGGTGAAGGAGCATGTAAAGTGATTGAAATCCCCCCACTGAGAGAAACAGTTCTGATTGCATAAATATACTGTCCTCTATAATTAAGTTAACTAACAAACAGAAACAGTTCAAATATAATACTCTACTCTGTTCACCCTAGAGGAAGGCACAACTGTTGAGGTCATGGCACTGGAAGAAGAGGTTTAATTATTCTCTTTTCCACCTGAGGTTATTCCTGGCTTGAGGTGACAAGCATTCCCTTTCCTTGGGTGAAGAATGAGCCAGCAGGGACAGTCCCACAGGACCTGGACATAAATATTGTCTCACATCTGATTTCTAACCTAGAAGTCAGAGATCCTTCTGCAGATATATTTTCTAAAAGCAAGACACTTAACTGGGTCATCAGAATCAAAGCTAAAAACTGCAGGGAAGGAAATGACAGAATCTTAGGTTGGAATTTACATTTCCTTTCAAAAAGTAGCAAAACTCATTAGCTTATAATTATATTTTTATATACAAAATCTTAATTTCTTCTCATTCAACACTGAACTTGTTAGAGGGGGATGTTGCTCTATACAACCTCCTAAATAATTAAATGAATAAATTTTTTCTATCATAAGACTTTTACTTCACATGTATAAATTAACCTCATTTTAGCAACTGACTTTGATTAAATTTAAAGACACTAAAAATTATATGCAAATTAAATTTTGTTAAATTAAATGCTAATTTAAATTCAACAGGAGAGCTCACTATGTAAGAGAATCATCTATAGCAACTTTCATTTTATAGTAAGCTGAATAATTTCTTTTATGTTTTATAAATAAAATTTTAAAAAGTTAACTATATCTTAGCCCAAGGTCTGCCTTGAACCTGCTGGAGAAGTCACAACTTTTTTAGGCTGCTGATTCATTCTCCATGAAATTTAAAAATTGGACCAGATAATCCACTTGTTCTCTCAAAGTTAAACAATTCTGTGATTCATTACCCTAGTTTTTACATACAAAATGTTTCAATATATTGTCGATGCTTTGGAAGTTGACAAATGGGACATCCAATTCTTATCTTGATCATAGTAAAATGCCTATTTTTCTCTAACTTCATTTTGCATGTCTAATCTATCTTTCTCACATCAGTATGCAGTCTGTTCTTAGTAAACAAATCAATCAAGATGGTAATACTAATTAGATTGAGTAAATATTTGTGTGTATTTTATTGTGATTCAATTAGCAGGAAATTTAAATTGCTGTTGAAATATATTTGTACACAGATAAGTGTATACACACATGTATATATATTTTTAGGGCAGTAGTGACTCATCTGAAGAAAATGGAGAGGATAGTTCAGAAGAGGAGGAGGAAGAAGAGGTAAGGAATTCTGCAATCTTTTCATAATAAAGCATACAGCACAAAAAACAAATAGGAAACTAGTCTATTGCAGTCTGGACTCAGCAAATAGCCATTGTCACTTTACTAACTGCCCACAATATCCTATTTTGGATAAGTAGAATTTTATTTAAATTAGAATCCACTAACATGACCTGTTTAAAACACTATTGCAGTTTGGGGTTGAAGTTACTTACAAATGGTGCTCAAAACCAAAAATGTCTCCCTTTTAAGTAGAAGTAGTATAAAATCTGATAAAAAGCAATGGAAGTAGTATAAAATCAAAAAGTAATGGGAAGCAGTATAAAATCTATAAAAAAGCAATGAAGTGGTATAAAATCTGATAAAAAGCAATAATAGTATAAAATCTGATAAAAGCACAAAGTAGTATAAAATCTGATAAAAGTAATGGAAGTAGTATAAAATCTGATAAAAGTAATAAGTAGTATAAAATCTGATAAAAAGTAGCTGAAGTAGTATAAATCTGATAAAAAGCAATGGAAGTAGTATAAAATCTGATAAAAAGCAACAGATAGCATTACTTCTATTTAGGTGATAGAACATGATATTAGAAGACAAATGAATAATAATCCTAAACTCAGTGCAAGACTTGTTTTAAGGACTGAACTTTAAAATTTAATTTACCAAGAGGGTAATATGTAAAAACTAGTTTATATCCTCTACAATATTTTTGTGATTCATCAGCCTTTCATAACCCACAAAGTAGGGTTATTCTTTTTAATAACAATTTCAGGCTTGGTGTGGTGGCTCACACCTGTAATCCCAACACTTTGAGAGGCCAAGGTGGGCGGATCACTTGAGGTCAGGAGTTTGAGACCAGCCTCGCCAACATGGTGAAACATCGTCTCTACTAAACATACAAAAATTAGCCAGGTGTGGTGGCATGCACCTGTAATTCCAGTCACTCGGGAAGCTGAGACACGAGAATCGCTTGAACCTGGAAGGTGGAGGTTGCGGTGAGCCGAGATCCTGTCACTGCACTCCAGTCTGTGCAACAGATCAAGACTCTGTCGCAGAAAAAACAAAACAAAACAAAACAAAAATCATACGTCTTTTTGGGTAATAATAAAATTCATAGGTGTATAAATATCTTCCCATATAGTTTTACAGATTAGTGTAGTCCTGGGCTAAGATTCATCTACATGTCTTGGAAATTGTGCTACCATGTTTATAACTGACATTCTTACCTAAGGAAACATACCAATTAGGATGCATCTTCCTGCATAGTCAATTATAGCTATCCACTGGTTTGGGAACCTTTTAAATTCAGGTATTCTCAGGTGCTATTTATGAACAGACAATGATCATCAAAAATGGATCATGTATTAACAGCTACCTTGAAAACAAAATGGCGTGGGAACTTGAAAGGTGACGAATCATTAGTTTGGTATATTTTTAACTATAAAAGCAACATTTCCCGTATCATAATTTATACTGACAGCTTGAAGGAAGGCCTTACAAGAACGTTAAGCCAGTACCAGGAAAAATGCCACCCACTAAATCCCACAAAATTTCTCCTGGAGTTCCACATAGCAATCTTACACAAGAACTAGGCTAGGGTTATCCATTTAGTTATAGCTATTTGCTGTACAGTGATTGTAAAATTGCCTTGTCAACTACATTTCCCAACTAGATTGCATATCTTATGGGAGTGGCTCTTCATTCGTTGTTGTGGTGGTTGAGGATTGAGGAAGACTAGGACTTCTTTGGGGGTTCTGATGAAATCAAGTACACACAAAATTTTGCCAAGGATCTCTGAATATTTAAGGTCTCCCCAGAATGTATCTGTAGACACCTCATGACCATAGGTTAAAATCCCTGCTTTGGGGAAGAGCCATGCTACCCAGTTTTATATCTCCTCATGCTGTCTAGCATAATTTCTTATACATATATGTTGCCCAGTAAATATCTGGTGGTTTGGTTTTGAAACTTCAGAGGAATAAATGCAACAAACTTCGTTCATTAAAAGTAGTATGAGGAGAATACTTAGGCATATTTTCTATTTGGTGATCACACATTTTCTTTTTCCACTCCTAAACTATTTAGTCTCATAAAAGAAACTTTTATTGAAATATACATAATAAAATTATCCTAATTATACATCTCATTGAAATTTCAGAAATTGAACACATAAGTGAAACTAGCACTCATATCAAAAAGCAGTGCATGCCTTGTGTTCCATTCCATTCATTAACAAACTCCCACAAAAGACAACCACTATTTTGACTCTTAATAGATTACTTTGGCCTGTTTTTGTATATTACAAATGTAGGATCATACTTCATTTACTCTTTGTGTGTCACTTCTTCGCTCTCAAATTTAGAGATTCATCCATGTTGTTCTGTAGTTGTAGGTCATTTATTCTCATTGTCAGTATTTCATTATGTGAATGTACCAAAATGTGTTATTCTTCTGTTGATGGGCAGTTGAGTAGTTTCCAAGTTTGGGTGATTACAAAGTGCTGCTATGAACTTTCTAGAACTTCTTCTGGTGAACATATACATAGTCATTTCTGGAGGCCATTTCACCCAAAGTGAAATTTCAGAGTCAAAATCTACTAAGGCATATATTCAACCTTAGATGGCAACCAGCTTTCCGAAACAGACGTACTCAGGTAAACTCTCACCATCAGTGTATGAGGGTTCCAGTTGCTCCACATTCTCACCAACTCTTGCTTCTTTCAGTCTTGTTAGCCAGTCCAGTGAGTTGATAATATCTTTGTAAGCCCAAATTAGTGCTATTTTTCTATCCAATAAAATTTGTGAAGCCTCATACCCATCAACAGATTGACCTATTTTCCTATTTAACTTATGTGCAGTGGAACATCCTTAAATAAAGTATCTCGGAAAAGAAAAGGTGTTGTAAGAGAAAACGTAAAAGTTGGGGTATTGGGCCTTTAGTGGTGACCCTGCCACCAATAAACTGCTGTCTGTTTGACCTCATACGAGTCATATAACCCAATCAGATTTTTCAACTGCAAATAGTGTATTCTACTCTGGGGAACTTTCTAAGGATGCTAGCATTAATTTCTCCTTCTACCTCTGAAAGATCTGTTGGAATAAAGCATAAACATAAAACAATAAACAAACAGCACAGTGTTTGGGGGATATTTGACACAATTAGCTTGGAGATTGTTTGGGGTATACTCTGGTAGTACTGCAACCCTTCACTGAAATAGTGAAATTTACAAATTTGATGAAACAAACATGTGGTGCTTTAGTCACTTTGTTCTAATAATAGGTAGGCTAAATATTTATTTGTTTGTTTGTTTTAAACTTTAAAAGTTATCACAATCTCTTAATTTATTTGTTTGTTTGTTTTAAACTTTAAAAGTTAATACAATCTTCTAAATGTGCTTGAAATGAATTTGTAACTTTGTTTTAATAATAGGCAGGCTAAATATTTGTTTGTTTGTTTTAAACTTTAAAAGTTATCACAATCTCTTAAAATGTGTTGAAATGAATTCAATTTTCCAGTATTTGTTTAAATAAATCCTATATATAGGAAACCCTGACTTTTAATATTAGCTACGAATTACACTGAGATCAACTCAATTAAAAAACAATTGCCTCACAACACAAAATAAAGGCAAAAGATGAAATATTAAAGATTATAATAGACATTCATTTGAAGAGTATTAATTTTTTAAAACACTTCATGCAGACTGGGTGCAGCGGTTCATGCCTGTAATCCCAGCACTTTGGGAGGTCAAGGTGGGCAGATCATGTGGTCAAGAGATCGAGACCATCCTGGCCAACATGGTGAAACCCTGTTTCTACTAAAAATACAAAAATTAGCTGGGTGTGGTGGCATGCACCTGTAGTCCCAGCTACTCGGGAGGCTGACAGAGGAGAATCACTTGAACCCAGGAGACAGAGGTTGCAGTGAGCCAAGATTGCACCATTGCACTCCAGCCTGGCAACAGAGCAAGACTCTGTAAACAAACAAACAAACAAACAAAATCTTCATGCAATAATATATCACTAGAATTTCTTGGAGTGTTTAGTTTCTTCTTTGTACAGAAAAGAATGATGTGTCAAATGCCTGAAACACAAATATTTTTTAATTGACAAAATACAAAGCAGAAATATCTAAAACATAATATAGTGTGGAGTAAGGAGGATTAAATAACTTGGAGTTGAGCTCTTAGAAGTGAGAAGTGCAAATGGCATAAGCGAAGGCAGGCTTTGAGTGATCAACCAGCTGAGGGATACAAAGGTTTTCCAAATAATAAACCTCCAACAAATGATTCACAGCTCCAACAAATCTTGAACTATCTTCCAGGTAAAATAATTTTTCTTACTGTGAATATTTCTAACAGGAGACTTCAAATGAAGGAGAAAACAATGAAGAATCAAATGAAGATGAAGACTCTGAGGCTGAGAACGCCACACTTTCTGCTACAACACTGGGCTATGGAGAGGACGCCACACCTGGCACATGGTATACAGGGTTAGCTGCAATCCAGCTTCCCAAGAAGGTAACAGTGGAATTATTCCTCTAAAATGAAATTATTGCCATTAATAATAATGGTAATATTCAATCTTTTTAAAACATTTTTACTGGAGTCTAAGGGTATACTAACACTATACACATAATATTTTACACTATCTTTATTAACTCATTAAAAAAGTGAGAGCAGATACACTTTTCCTATTTACAAATAAGAAAAGATCTTCTGCCAGACAAGTTCTCCTCCCATGTTATTACACTGACTTTTACATTATAATGGAAGATTAAGAACACACATCTAGGCATGGATAAAAGGTCCTGAGAGATACCATGACATTCCAGGGAAGAGAATTCCAAGACAGAGAAAGTGAGTAGCAAAACGATAGGAAGAATCTCCCCCAGGAAAGCCATTTTCTATAAATAATGGCACACTTTCCCCATCAAAACCCATGACAAAGGGATTTATCCTGAAGTTTTAAAGCCCTCAATCATTTTGTAAATTAAATTGGTCTTAATTCAAATAAGACGCCCAGAACAAGGCTGTCAGTATAGAATATTGTGTTGAATGAGTGATGGCCTTAAATTTTACATTTTTCACAGCTAGATTTGGGTTCTTTCAAACGTTTCCTTACAGGCTGGGGATGTAACAAACAAAGCTACAAAAAAGGAGGAAAGTGATGAAGAAGAAGAGGAGGAAGAGGAAGAAAATGAAAACGAAGAAAGCGAAGCAGAAGTGGATGAAAACGAACAAGGCATAAACGGCACCAGTACCAACAGCACAGAGGCAGAAAACGGCAACGGCAGCAGCGGCGGAGACAACGGAGAAGAAGAAGGGGAAGAAGAAAGTGTCACTGGAGCCAATGCAGAAGGCACCACAGCAACCGGAGGGCAGGGCAAGGGCAGCTCTAAGACAACAACCTCTCCAAATGGTGGGTTTGAACCTACAACCCCACCACCAGTCTATAGAACCACCTCCCCACCTTTTGGGAAAACCACCACCGTTGAATACGAGGGGGAGTACGAATACACGGGCGCCAATGAATACGACAATGGATATGAAGTCTATGAAAGTGAGAACGGGGAACCTCGTGGGGACAATTACCGAGCCTACGAGGATGAGTACAGCTACTTTAAAGGGCAAGGCTACGACAGCTATGATGGTCAGAATTACTACCACCACCAGTGAAGCTCCAGCCTGGGATGAACTCATCCATTCTGGCTTTGCATCCGGCTACCATTTTCAAAGTTCAACTCAGGAAGGTGCAATATAACAAATGTGCATATTATAATGAGGAATGCTATTACCATTCCAAATTTTCCGTAATTGCTTCTGCAAAGTAATAGGCTTCTTGTCTCTTTTCTTTCTGGCATGTTATGGAAAGATCATTGGAAATTAGGGCAATCTATTAAGCAGTACACCAGCTCATAAGATCAAATTCCATTGAATGGTTTGAGGTTGTAGCTCTGTGAATAGTAGTTTTTAACATGCCTGTACTATTGCTAACTGCGAAAACATACTCTTTGTACAAGAAGTGCTTCTAAAAAGAATTTCATTGACATTAATGACACTGTATACAATAAATGTGTAGTTTCTTAATCGCACTACCTATGCAACACTGTATATTAGGTTTGTCATCCTCATGTATTTTTATGTGACCTGTATGTATACTCTAATCTATGAGTTTTATCACAAATAAAAATGCAATCCTTGAAATGTGTTATAATTAAGAAAAGAAGTGAGAGATTCAGAACGGAAAAAGGTGAAACAAATGGAAGACTATTTCACTAAAGGAGAAAAGCTTATTTCCACTATGGTTTAAAACTAAGAGGAACTGTAAACATTTTCTTTTGGCTAAATCAACATAACTAAGACTTTACCATGCTTGTGGGCAGGGTTAGCCATATACATCAGGGGAATGAATGGCTCTTATTAGGGTTGCCAGATACAACAAACATATAGGATGCCTATTAAATTTGAATTTCAGATAAACAATGAATAATTTTTAGTGTAAGTATACTCCAAGCAATATTTGGCCTTTGTGAAGTATTTTGCACATACTTATACTAAATAAATGATTCACTGCCTATCGAATACTCAACTTTATTATATAATTATATTTTGAGACAGAGTCTCACTCTATCACCCAGGCTGGAGTGCAGTGGCACCATCTCGGCTCACCACAACCTCTGCCTCCTGGGTTCAAGCCATTCTCCTACCTAAGCCTCCCGAGTACCTAGGATTACAGGCATGCACCTCCGCATCTGGCTAAATTTTTGTATTTTGAGTAGAGACAGGGTTTCGCCACATTGGCCAGGCTTGTCTTGAACTCCTGACCTCAAGTGATCCATCCACCTCGGCCTCCCAAAGTGCTAGGATTACAGGTGTGAGCCACCATGCCCAGCCCTGATACTCAACTTTAACTGAGTGCTTTGTTTATCTAGCAATCCTACTTCTACTTGGCTTAATTTTAGCTGGGCAAGAGGTGGAATGAGGTAGAAAAAAACTCTTACACAACACATACACACAAAGAAGGGCTGATATATAAAGACTTAACAGCAAGTCACACCTTGATATAAACCTGAAATAAATTTAAAATGGGAGTAAAGAAGGAAAGTAGATAGAAGAAGCAAGAAGAACAAAAATGCATTCACCTTTTAATTTATTAACTGAAAAGATGTTTTGAACATCTACAGAGCCAGAGAATGTTCACACATTGAGCATATGAAAATGAAGAATGCTGTCTTTGGTGTAATTTTAGTCCATTAGCTACCAGTTGTGAGACTTTCCATGCATCATGACATTCACTTTTCCTAACTTTTTTCTTATTATATCTTTATTCTAAAATTTGTTTCTCAAATATTCAAACCACAAATTTTAAAATATTTGGTTTTAAATATATATTTTTTCCCATGAGTTGTGAGGGTATGGGTGGTATTCGGTTACATGGTGATTTGTGAGATTTTGGTGCACCTATCACCTGAGCAGTATACACTGCACCGTATTTGTAGTCTTTCCCTCGCCTCCTCCCACTCTTCCCGCCAAGTCCCCAAAGTCCATTGTATCATTCTTATGCCTTTGCATCCTCATAGCTTAGCTCCCACATATCAGTGAGAACATACAATATTTGGTTTTCCAATCCTGAGTTATTCCACTTAGAATAATAGTCTCCAATCTCATCCAGGTCACTGCAAATGCTGTTAATTCATTCCTTTATGGTTGCGTAGTATTCCATCATACATATATATATACATGACAGTTTCTTTATCCACTCATTGATTGCTTGACATTTGGGTTGGTTCCACTTTGCAATTGTGAATTGTGCTGCTATAAATATGAATGTGTTCAAATATGCAATAAATATATGTGTGTTCAAATAATGACTTATTTTCCTCTGGGTAGATATCTAGTAGTGGGATTGCTGGATCAAATGGCAGCTCTACTTTTAGTTCTTCAAGGAATCTCCACACTGTTTTCCATAGCGGCTGTAGTAGTTCACATTACCACCAGCAGTGTAGAAGCATTCCATGTTCACCACATACGTGCCAACATCTACTGTTTTTTTGTTTTGTTTTTTGATTTTTTGATTTGGGCATTCTTGCAGGAGTAAGGTAGTATGGCGTTGTGGTTTTGATTTGCATTTCCCTGATCATTAATGATGTTGAGCATTTTTACATATTTTTTAGCCATTTGTATATCTTCTTTTGAGAATTGTCTGTTCATGTCCTTAGCTCACTTTTTGATAGGATTTTTTTTCTTACTGATTTGTTTGAGTTCGTTGTAGATTCTGGATATTAGTTCTTTGTCAGATGTATAGATTGTGAAGATTTTCTCCCACTCTGTGGCTTATCTGCTTGCTCTGCTGACTGTTCCTTTTGTCATGCAAAAGCTCTTAAGCTTAATTAGGTCCCAGCTAGTTATCTTCGTTTTTATTGCATTTGCTTTTGGGTTCTTGGTCATGAAATCCTTGCCTAAGCCAATGTCTAGAAGAGTTTTTCCAATGTTATCTTCTAGAATTTTTATAGTTTCAGGTCTTAGGTTTAACTCCTTAATCCGTCTTGAGTTGATTTTTGCATAAGGTAAGAGATGAGGATCTAATGTCATTCTCCTATATGTGGCTAGCCAATTATCCCAAGACCATTTGTTGAAAAGGGTGTCCTTTCCCCACTTTATGTTTCTGTTTTCTTTGTCAAAGATCAATTGAAAGCAAGTATTTCGTTTATTTCTGGGTTCTCTATTCTGTCCCATTGGTCTATGTGCCTATTTTTATACCAGTACCATGCTGTTTTGGTGATTATGGCCTTATAGTATAGTTTGAAATCAGGTAGTGTGATGCTTCCAGATTTGATCTTTTTGCTTAGTATTGTTTTGGCTATGTGAGCTCTTTTTTGTTTCCATATGAATTTTAGAATTGTTTTTTCTAATTCTGCAAAGAATGATGGTGGTTTTTTGATGGGGATTGCATTGAATTTGTGGATTGCTTTTGGCAGAATGGTCTTTTTCACAATATTGATTCTACCCATCCACGAGCATGGGATGTGTCCCATTTATTTGTGTCTTCTATGATTTCTTTCAGCAGTGTTTTGTAGTTTTCCTTATAGAGGTCTTTTGACTCCTTTGTTAGGTATATTACTAAGGTGGTTTTTTTTTTTTTTTTCTTGCAGCAATTGTGAAAGGGATTGAGTTCTTGATTTGATTCTCTGCTTGATCACTGTTGGTATATAGAAGAGCTACTGATTTGTGTATATTAATCTTGTATGCAGAAACTTTGCTGAATTCTTTTATCAGTTCTAGGAGCTTTCTGGAGGAATCCTTAGGTTTTTCAGGGTAAACAATCATATCCTCAGCAAACAGTGACAGTTTGACTTTCACTTTACCAATTTGGATGCCCTTTATGTCTTTCTCTTGTCTGATTGCTCTGGTTAGGACTTACAGTACTATTCTTAAGAGGAGTAGTGACAGAGCTCATCCTTGTCTTGTTCCGGTTCTCAGATGGAATGCTTTCAACTTTTCCCTGTTTAGTATTATGTTGGCTGTGGGTTTGTCGTAGATGGCTTTTATTACATTAAGGTATGTCCCTTGCATGCCAATTTTGCTGAGAGTTTTAATCATAAAGGGATGCTGAATTTTGTTGAATGTTTTTCGAAAGTTGAATGCGTCTATTGACATAATCATGTGATTTTTTAAAAATTCTGTTTATGTAGTATATCACATTTATTGACTTGTGTATGTTAAACCATCCCTGCATCCCTGGTATAAAACCCACTTGATCATGGTGGATTATCTTTTTGATATGTTGTTGGATTCGATTAGCTAGTATTTTGTTAAGGATTTCAGCATCTATGTTCATCAAGGATATCAGTCTGCAGTTTTCCTTTTTGGTTGTGTCCTTTCCTGGTTTTGGTATTAGGGTGATGCCGGCTTCATAGAATAAATTAAGAAGGGTTCCTTTTCCCTTTATCTTGTGGAATAGTGTCAAAAGGATTGGTACCAATTCTTCTTTGAATATCTGGTAGAATTCTGCTGTGAATCCATCTGGTCCTGGACTTTTTTGTTGGTAATTTCTTAATTACAATGTCAATCTCGCTGCTTGTTACTGGTCTGTTCAGGGTATCTAATTCTTCCTGATTTTAGCCAGGAGGGTTGTATTTTTGCAAGAATTTATCCATCTCTTCTAGGTTTTCTAGTTTATGCATGTAAATGTGTTTATAGTAGTCTTGAATTATCTTTTGTATTTCTTTTTTATTATTATTACTGTACTTTAAGTTCTAGGGTACATGTGCACAACGTGCAGGTTTGTTACATATGTGTACATGTGCCATGTTGGTGTGCTGCACCCGTTAACTTGTCATTTACATTAGGTATATCTCCTAATGCTATCCCTCCCCGCTCCCTCCACCCCACAACAGGCCACTGTGTGTGATGTTCCCCACCTTGTGTCCAAGTGTTCCCATTGTTCAATCCCCACCTATGAGTGAGAACTTGTGGTGCTTGGTTTTCTGTGCTTGCAATAGTTTGCTCAGAATGATGGTTTCTAGCTTCATCCATGTCTGCACAAAGGACATGAACTCATCGTTTTTTATGGCTGCACAGTATTCCATGGTGTATATGTGCCACGTTTTCTTAATCCAGTCTATCATTGGTGGACATTTGGGTTGGTGCCAAGTCTTTGCTATTGTGAATAGTGCTGCAATAAACATACGTGTGCATGTGTCTTTATAGCAGCATGATTTATAATCCTTTGGTTATATGCCCAGTAATGGGATGGCTGGGTCAAATGGTATTTCTAGTTCTAGATCCTTGAGGAATGGCCACACTGTCTTCCACAATGGTTGAACTAGTTTACAGTCCCACCAACAGTGTAAAAGTGTTCCTATTTCTCCACATCCTCTCCAGCACCTGTTGTTTCCTGACTTTTTAATGATCGCCATTCTAACTGGTGTGAGATGGTATTTCATTGTGGTTTTTATTTGCATTTCTCTGATGGCTAGTGATAATGAACACTTTTTCATGTGTCTGTTGGTTGCATAAATGTCTTCTTTTGAGAAGTGTCTGTTCATATCCTTTGCCCACTTTTTGATGGGGTCGTTTGATTTTTTCTTGTAAATTTCTTTAAGTTCTTTGTAGATTCTGGATATTAGCCCTTTGTCAGATGATGAGATTGTAAAAATTTTCTCCCATTCTGTAGGTTGCCTGTTCACTCTGATGGTAG